ATCCTTTATGTTCTGGGTGAAACTCTTAGCTTTCAGGAAATCAGCTGAAAGGAGGGAGAACGAAATGAGTCAAAACTGCAGATTAGGAAGCTGAAAATATTATTGATAGGCTAATGACTCAAGTGAATTTTATTAATAGGATTTTGCTACTCTGCTTTTTGTGTTGACTGCTTGTGAGCGGTTGACATCTCTTCTCATTTTGCAACACGTTCTCACTCCCAGCGCGTCAAAAACAAACGCTTGGTCAGCCACCCTCCGCGTCAGACCCCTGACGCCAAAAGTGCCCTTTTTCGTTACTTATGTGATATCTGCTGATGAGGCACCGAACCAGCTCGTTTAACCGCACCTATACCTTAACGTTTCACTACTTATAACCTTCCCCTCTCCCTCATCCTAACCTTAACCCTCTTGCTACCTAAAACGTTACTCTCACTGTGATCAAGCGTCTGTTTCCCATGCATTCTGACTGTGAATTTTCATATTTGCCGCCCAAGGGGAACGTTAGAACATACCATCTGGCGAGGGGGAGGTTACAAATGCCCTCTACTTTTAACCTCAACCGTGGTAGTTGAAACACCCCCCTCGCATTGACTCGGTCCAAACCCGACCAATGACGAGGCGGCTCTCGCCGTTCACTTCATAGAGCCGGCTTTTAGAGCAACCGACACATCACTAACATGTTCGCTAGCAAGATGGTTAAGGTTAGGATAGGGGTGAGGGGAAGGTTAAATAACAAGAGGATGAGGTTAGGGTGAGGTACGATGAGCTTGTTTGGTGCCCTGGCTGCGGACATCCCATCGCGTCAGTTTTACGCTGCATTGGGATCTGCAGTCAGAAAAGAGAAATAAACCTTTTCGCACATAAGTAACGAAAAAGTAGCCTAGTGAACTAGACCAAATTCTTGCTTTGCAAAGTTTGGTCTAGGAACGCTCCACTGGAACCTCTGCAGCCCCAACAGCATTCTGGCTGGCCAATCACAGCTCTCTAGAGGGGTTTCAAACACATAAAGAGCTGTGATTGGTCCATAATGGTGGGCCAATCATAGTGCTCTATATGCTTAGTGAACAAATCACAGAGCTTTATCCACTTTGTGGGCCAATCAGGGCACTCTATATGCCTGGTGGGTGGGATGATGCAACAGAGGGAAACAAGAGTGTGTCACATTCATTGTCCAGTGGAATGCGGAGATCATTTGAAAGACAACGGTAGAACCCGCCCCAGAACCGAGAGCCGTCAATGGAGCGTTGCCAGACTAAATAATACATTTATTTAGTCTGGCTAACGAAAAAGGGCACTTTTGGGGTCAGGGGTCTGACGCGAGGGTGGCTGACCAAGCGTTCGTTTTTGACGCGCTGGGTGTGAGAATGAGTTGCATTTTGGGATCTGAATGCTGTTTTGAAGTGCTCCGGCTATTAAGAAATGATCAAAGAGCAAGTCACCCCTGCCAGATTCTTACTCAACTCCCACTTCCTGTTGAAAAATGCAACAAATGCTGTTGCCTAGCAGACCAAGAGGGCGGAGCCTCTAACAAATACACACACACACGACATTGTGACATCATAATGTACCATCTAACATCATAGTGTACCTCTTAGCCAATAGCGATGACAGATTTAACTTCAAATGCAGTGCTGAGTTTTTGCCTGACGACGGTGCATCGCTGACAGTTTAATAGGCTCGACACACGGGAGGCAACAAACGACCGCGATCAGCGAAATTTGTCTCTGTCGCTTTTATTACCTGACACACGGGAGGCGACCCGCGGCAGCGGCCATCTGCAAAGCCTTCTACGCGTTCTGTTCCATGGCGAAATCGAAACTTCCGTTGTTTTGTTTGGCTGTGTCAGGTTGGAGGGAATTAAGGTTATTTAAGCGGTTCAGAGTTAATAAAGCGGTAGATATGATGTTTCACAAGGTGCTGCTAGAGTTATGTGAAATCTTACTTCTGATTTTACTATAAAACATAATAATAATCAACTTCTCCTCCATGTTTGCTCGGAGGTGTACGGAGCATCCTGTCCGCTCATTGGTCAGTGAATGAAACCTCCGTTGATTGGTCCTCGTCCGAGCGACAGCGATGAAAAGTTGAAAATGTTTCAACTTTCTGGGATCGCGTCGCTGGGTCGCATGTGCACGACACGTGCACGAGCGCAAAATTTCACACGCACGTTTTTCGCGTTTCGCTTGATAGGAGGGAGTCCCGCGATTATCGCTTTGTCGCGCATGTCTCATTGAAAATGAATGGAGGAGAGGCGATGTCGCCTCCCGTGTGTCGAGCCCATTAGGCAGAATATTTAAATTTTAACTAAGATGCACTAAAGTGCCGAATTATTGACTACATTTGTCTACAGCACGATCAGACACTCATTTATATAGTTAATCAGCAAAAAAAATGGTGATTGGGAGTGACTTGCTCTTTAAAAAATGACTTCAGGACAGCTCGGGCTCCATTCAACCAGGAAGTGAACTTCATTATTTATCTGAAGGAAGGAGCTGATAAAGAACAACATGAGTGAGTGAAGAAATGGTATTTAAAGCTTGCTGCTTTGTAAACCACACATTGAGCTACTTCCCAAAGGAAGATGACAGATCTGTGACTGTGAGCAGGCTCACTCTTCACACTCTACAGTTTTTATGAAAATTTACAGCCCAACGTCCAAAGCTATATACCGACAACCTTTCAACCTTTGCTTAAGTGCCCATAAACCAGACAGAAAGGCTGATGTACACTTCTAGCTTTGTTAGCTACACTTAAAATGAAGTTAAATGGTAGAAAATGAAATAATAATCAATAATATTAATTTTTATGTCGTGTTTTTCCCAGCTTCCATAAATAGCTACACTAATACCATACACTCAAATACCAGCCAGCTCAGAGAAAAACCACCATCTGCTCAGCTGTAATCTATAAACATAATAAATTAATCACAGTTCCAACACAGTAGAAGGTTAGAATAGAATTAGCTTTCAGTTTATTTCAGGTTTTGGTTTTAAAAAACATGTTGACACACAATTTTCTATTTTTTATGCACTAAATTTAAAGGGTAGCATTCCTTGAAAGGGTGGAAATCGCCTTGCATGCCACAGTTTTAGGCCTAGTCCACACGTAGCCGGGGTTTTTTGAAAACGAATATCCGCCCCTTCAAAAACTTGCATTCACACCACCGCGTTTTGAAAAAAAAAACTCTGTCCACACGTACCCGGACAAATACGTTGTTAAGGACATGCCAGACCTGTAGGTGGCAGTACTTCCCCCGTTCTTAACCTCGTCCTTCGTCTGTGGTCTTCCGCAAGGAGCAGTAATTCCGCTTGCAAAAACAAACAAGCACAAAGCGCTTGGACGATTGATGGATCGGGTAGTGACAGAGCGCAGCTCTGAGGGCATCCATGATGCCGGCTAGTGTAAACACAGGTCGCACACGTGATGTCAGCATTTTTTGTCGCGGAAAGTGACGTTGCGGACCTTAAAACTCCGGTTTTGTCTGTCCACACGCAGACACCCAAAACGGAGAAAACGCAGATCTTCACTTTGGCCGGAGTTTTTAAAAAGATCCGTTTTCGTGTGAAAAAACTCCGTTTTCGTGTGGATGACAGGCCAAAACGTAGAAAAATATCTACGTTTTGGCAGATCCCCGGCTACGTGTGGACAGGGCCTTAGATCATCTGATCTTTTTTTTCTCCTTTTTTTCTTTTTTTCCACTTTTTTTTTCACTTTTTTTCTTTTTTCTTTCTTTTTTCTCTTTTTTTCCCTTTTTTTCTCTTTTAAAAAGGAAAAGCAAAAAAAAAAGATCATCTGATCTTGATAAAAGCAGGAGATGGATTGTGTAAATGACCCTATTATAAATAAGAACAAAAGTGGCCTGGAAAAAACAACAAATAAGCAAAAATACAAGGTCTTTGTTAGAGAAGTCAAATCTTTGTGAGACGAGAAAATACTTGGAGACATGGAGGAGACGAAACCTGCCAGTAAAACAGATGGAAGTCAGTGCAACCTATTTTTCCTGCTCAAAGTTGTAGTGTCTGCCTGGTTCTCCTCTCTGTAACCATGACAACGCAGCAGCAAAAAAAATTGGCTAAAAAGCACACTTTTGTATAGATAGAGTTGGGTTTAGACAAGGTGGAGGCCAATAAAGGTGGAGGAGAAGATGTAGGGAGTGTGTGGTGAGCTTGTGCAAAGGTGTGTTAGAGATAAGATGAGCAAATGAGCTCAGTGTGTCCGTCATCCTTGTTGCTGTGGATTCAGATTGTCCACAGTGTGAAGGCTTATCTCAGACTGTGTGTGTGTGTGTGTGTGTGTGTGTGTGTGTGTGTGTGTGTGTGTGTGTGTGTGTGTGTGTGTGTGTGTGTGTGTGTGTGTGTGTGTGTGTGTGTGAGAGAGAGAGAAACAGGTACAGAGGGCAGCTTTACAGCCATTATAAAGCCTTCATTTTGTCAGGTTGAGGTCAAACAAGCAGATAAAACTACTTTTCTCACCATAACAAGAATTCTTATCAGAGATGCACACAAAACCGATCTAAGTCCAGTCAAACCGAAATCACAATGTTTTATGGTAATGTCATAAAATCAATGCTTATTTTTAGATTTTAACTAGTGCTGCGCGGCTCAGGCACATTCACAGGAGTTCTGACTTGTTAAACTCCACTTTTAAAAATGTGCAGCCTCGTGCATTTTATATAGATCACCTGGCTTTAAGCCGTGCACCAGCCTCTAAAAGTCTACACGCGCACTCTATTTTTACACTGAAGCATCTTGCATGAGTCAGTTTGTTCATTTTTTATAACATGCATCTCTTTTATTCTTTATGTAGCCCAGAGGTCTAAAATCTCTCCCATCCAGCTTCAGAAGGGCCTTCTATTGCTAAGAGACACCAATGTTCTGTTTCTAGCACACATGAGACACGAAAATAACTTTAGCACACAGATGCCAATAACCCTTGCTGCTTTTTTAATTTTAATTTGCTTCGTCCTTGTTTAATATTCAATGTTTGTGCTTATGTTGCAGATTTGAGTCAAACTACAATCCATGCCAAGCGCTCAAGTACGTGTCCTCACGCCATATGTCTATGATTACAATCTTGAAGGTTAATTAAACTCTGATTCCCAATGAGGACCTGATAACTTTTTCAATCATTTGGTTTGAATTATTTATTTATTTTTCAAAAATCACCAAAATGATTATTATCAATTTTTCTTCTAATAATGGCGTGATCTTATTACTGCATGTAGGATTTGATTTATGTCCTCCAGCTATCAAATCATGTTAACCCTAACTGATCCGAGCTCCGGCCAGAGCAGCTGGGCAGGAAGTGTTTAAGGTTGCTAGGTTTAATGTCCCTGCTTCACCAGGCACTGGCTGGATGTAAATGGTGCTCAAGGCCATTAGAAACTGATGGACTTGTAATGAGTTCAGCATGTGCTCGTGTTGTGCTGTCATCTGTGCGAGAGTTGATTTAAATCTAAAGCTGTCACACAGAAATGCCATTTAAAGCCTCAGATTTGTTCACACTCTTTATGTAAACATTTAGTCACAGTGTGGTAGGAAAAGAACAAAAAAACATCTTAACTGGGAGAAAAGTGGAATTCGCCTTATAGACTGGGAGTCTTGCTTGTGCACAGTGAAGAGATGGAACATTGGTTTGTCTGTTTTCACTTTTACGGTCAGGACTTTGGGTCGTGGAACAAGATCCAGGATACAAGTGGCTGAAATGAGCTTCCTCTGTAGGGTGGGCAAGTGTATTTAAGGTTAGGAGCTCTATCATCTGATGGGTGGAGCTTGGAGTGGAGCAGGTAGTTTGAGCATCTGATTAAAATCCCTTTCCTTGCCCTGGAAACACTTTGGAATCCCCCTGAGGGAGCTGGAGAGAGATGGATGGATGGATGGAGGGAGGGAGGGAGGGAGGGAGGGAGGGATGGATGGATGGTTGGATGGAGTGAGTGAGTGAGTGAGTGAGTGAGTGAGTGAGTGAGTGAGTGAGTGAGCGACCGAGTGAGCGAGCGAGCGAGTGAGTGAGTGAGTGAGTGAGTGAGTGAGTGAGTGACCGAGTGAGCGAGTGAGTGAGTGAGTGAGTGAGTGAGTGAGTGACCGAGTGAGCGACCGAGTGAGCGAGTGAGTGAGCGAGTGAGTGAGTTCAGTCGTTTCTCCTGCAGAAGCATCCAAAGTTGATCTCACATAACTTTCTAAATCCTTCACAATAAAAGCCTCAACATTCATATATAACTCAAGATACTGGGAAAATACATCTGAAGTGTAGAAAAGCAGTTTATTATTATTTTTATAGGTTATGGTTATTTTAAGATTTAACAGATCCGGACCAAATAGGTCATTCACACAAGATAAAAGGGTATTGTGAATATTTTTGCCAGTTCTAATGTAGATTTTGATTTTTCCCTCTAAATCTCAAAACAACAACTTAATTTTGTCCTTTAGACTTTTTATTTATTTATTTATTTATTTATTTTTGGAGTTTTTGATTTTGAGCTACTAATCGAAACTTTAAACTGAAAATTGGGAGACTAAAGTAAAACAAAAGTTTCCTCTTCTGAGTGGCCCTGATGTCTTTGTTAGTACGAACCATAAAATCCCACTAATCCTAATAGGCCACGCCCATCTACTTCCGTACCATGCCAAAAATAAATGAAAAACAGAATCTATGAGCCGATAAAATTCATTTTCTGATCCTGATTGACATGTGCCGTGGATTTCACATATAAAGTCCATGAAGTTTAAAGACATATTTTGATAGCAAGAAAGTGATTATTTTCCGTCAGGCAGCAAAAGTTGGGTTTGTGTGAAAAGACGTAACAGACTACAAATGTTCGTCGCACCAAATTGATGTCATCATCAAGTCTAACACGGAGAGAAAAAAAAAGGCTTAAAGCTTAGAGAGCTTTGAATCCTTTCAGGATTAAAGAACCACTCTAAATCTGGCCATGTGGTGAGCGGCAGCTTCGCTGGTGGAGAAGTTAATCTGTGGTGACATCATATATGCAGCATCTGAGTTGTAATCATTTTAATTACAAATTTTTACAAGCTACAAAATATCAAGTTCGTGGCAGACATGGTCGAAACACACATAATTATTTATTATTATTAATAATAATAATAATACAATTTATTTCAAGTGCCTTTCAAAGCTCTCAAGGTCACTGCACAAGACAAAATATAAGGAACAGCAAGCAATACAAACAACAAGAAATAAGTGCTGAGAGTAATTCCCAAGGGTAGAGTCGGAGCTGTACAATGGATAATAGACTAAAAAGAGTAGATGGAAGGTGGACAGTTACAACGAGTAAGCCAGGCAGAACATGTGAGTTTTGAGTTGAGACTTGAAGGTTAATAAGGAGTTTATATTGCGGACGTCAGGCGCTAGAGCGTTCCAGAGTTTTGGAGCTGAGTGGCTGAAAGCTCTGGCTCCCATAGTACTGAGACGAGTGCGAGGAACAGACAGGGAAGGTGAAGATGATGATCGGAGAGAGCGAGTGGGAGTGACAATGTGGAGGAGATTAGAAAGATAAGGGGGAGCGAGATTATGGATTGCGTTAAAGGCATGACGAAGTATCTTATATTATTATTATTATTTGACAGGGAGCCAGTGAAGTTGTTGCAGGACAGGGGTGATGTGATCAAAAGTGGAGGTCTTATCCGAGCAGCTGAATTTTGGACTAACTGTAGCTTGTTGAGTGATTTTAGAGGGAGATCGGAGAGGAGGGCGTTACAGTAATCGATGCAACTGGTGACCAGGCTGTGGACCAAAATAGCAGTGGAGTGCTGACTGAGGGAGGGGCGGAGTTGATTGATATTGCGGAGATGAAAATAAGCAGTTTTTATTGTGTTGTTACTATGAGGAATGAAGGCTAAGGTGTTGTCTAAGATGACACCCAAGCTCTTAGCTTTGGCGGTGGGGAGAAGTGTGGTGTTGTCGAAGCTAGCGATGGGTACCGAATTCGGTACTTTTTAAGGTACCGACCGAATTCCATAGTTCCGACCGAGCACCGATTCACGTCATTTGAAACGGTGCCTCGTTTCGAGACGGGTCCTTCATAACGAGAACTTGCCTAGTTAGCTGCGCGTGCACCAGGGCGTTATGTCGTCGGTCGCTGTGAGCGAGTTGTAAACAGAGCAGCATGGTAGAAAGAACGCACGCTAAAGCTTGGGTCCACTTCACTAAATGTGATGGGTAACTGGGTGATGATGAAACCAGCGACAACGATCTAAGTGACACATCCTCATCTTAATCTGCTCCGGTAGGTAAAGAAAATGTTTAAGATAACGTTAGCTTGATATTCTAGCTTCCATTGCCACCATTGTTATCAGCTAATGGTGTGTTCGCTTTCTCCTCGGAAATTCTAACTTCCCAGTAGGAAAAATCAAATGAAAACGGACGGTAAAAGGAATGAAGATACACAGTAAATTTAGTTCACAGTAAAGATGTTTGCTTCAGTTTAATTATCAGCTTATAAAACTACAAGGACGATGTTAAAATACAAACAGTTGTATGTTATTTATCGTGATATTTATCAGATATTGTTATATATTGAGAAAAGTATGTATTTAATTATGAAAGAGAATTAAAATATTAAACACTCAAAAGTATCGAAAATTGGTACCGTTAAGTACCGGTATCGATTCCTAGGTACCGGGAATTAGTACCGAATCGATTCAAATGTCAAAGGTACCCATCCCTAGTCGAAGCTGAGTGAGAATTAACTGGTCTTAGATATAGATGACTTGGTGCCAATGAGGAGGATCTCAGTCTTATTGCTGTTGAGCTTCATTAAAAGTGAAGTGCAGCATAAGTGCGATTCAGGGCGCAAGGCAAAGCGGATTAGAAAATAGCTTTTTAGCCCCGTTCACTTCCACTCATTTTTTCATTGTTCTGGGGACTCATGATGAGCCGACTGGTAGGGGAGGAAACTTATGACTGCTCCCTATGACTGCAGTAAAACAATGGCTGCACTGAATTTTCATTTAATGCCGTGGAACCTCAAAGGCTTCCAGTCGAGCAACGTGAGAATGATCTCAAGTGGACGGAGAAACATTTGTTTGATTGTTGGCGGATTGCTGTTGGTCACATAGAGCGGAGAGCCAACCATCAGTAATAAGCAGAGGTTTCTGAATGTGAGAGCTGTGCAGAAACGAAGGAGAAGTCAGCATCGTTTTGATTGAAGTGACTCTGAACTGGATGTGATCATTAGTGCTAAGAGCACCTGGTTGATTTACACATAAATTTGTGTTTGGTTTACCAAAGAGACAGTAAATTTAGGATAAATTAAGGCTATTGCAGTTCTGACGGGAGAAAATGCATCCGCAAACGGCAGTCGGAGGTGTGAGTCAGTCAGACCGAGAGGCAGGTAATCAAATAAGAGCTCAGAACAACAGCAGCTGTGCTTCTGAGGAAATGCAACTCAATAAAAGATTAACTGCAGCCTAACATCTTGGTAACTTGTTGCAAAAAGTCCATTTTAAAAATTTGGAGCTGAAACAAACACGTGAACCCTCATGAATGCTAGCTTGTTACCAAGATAAAGATTTCAGTAAGAATCTGGTGACAATTTGGCATTTTTTCAATGTATTATTTACTTGAAAACTGACTGAGTAGCCTATGCCATAATTCTTTGTGTTCTGATGCCTTTGTTATGCACACTAGGGTTTTTTTTTTTACATCTGCGCACCAACTCTGCCATGTATACATGCAAACGTCATACAGAACGGCTGAAACCTGGGTTTTGAACCTGCAACCTTCTTGCTGTACCACCATGTAGCCCTTCAGTAAATGTCACCCCTACGCTGGATAATAAAGCACCTCTATGCTCTCGGATAAAAACAAAGTGATGGGGCCAGGGGGATTTAATGGCGTGGAAGGTTAGCTCGAGGATCTTCTGTCTGGTTTTTGTAATCAAATAACTCTGTGATTACGGTTGTGTGTTTTTAGAGCTTCTGCAGTAATTTATCTGTGTGTGTGTCTGTGTGTGTGTGCATGCATGTGTGTGTCAGAAAAACACGCACTATTACTCTCGCTGCTCAGAGCAGGCTGCCCA